CAACCCTAAGGTTTAAGTTAGACACGGATTACTTTAAAGATCAAAGTTCTCGACATGCAACTCAAATAAACATGAAATTGTAAAGATTCAAGAAAGCTCCCGCCTCCTGGCTCATCATGAAAGGAAAAGCTCGATGGCTAAAATTCATTCATCAAAACTGATCTAATCTCCAAACAACCTCATAGCCAGGCTTTAGATAGCCTCCCAACTAAATCTTAAATACCACATCATAAATCATAACAAAATGACAAAAATATCCCACTTAATATGCTATAAAATGATAAAAATTAGAAAGCAAGAAAATTACATCAAAATATTAAATACAAGTTCTTCATAATTTGAAGTCCTGTGTGGTTCATATCAGGTTTCTCTATTAACATCATCTCTCAGGGTGGCTGAATTTTATTTTTATTATAGGTTGCCTTTGTTCATTCCTCTTAAGTTCCTATTTAGTATTTGATAATTTAATCTGAATATGATATCTTTATGATATCATTATCATGTACCATCTATCTCAACTTTGGTCATTATTGATTACATGCAGTTGGCATTGGCTGCCTTGTGTAGATCAAATGAAGTTCATGCAGTTATTGACTTCGAACGGTGAAAAGTTTATTACTTATCAAGATTCGTTGACTTATTTAAAGATTTTCTTGTCACAAAAATAAATAAATAAATAAATAAAATAAAATTACAATGGTGAACTTGTTAATGTATGCTTCTAAAAATTTTATTGGAGTTTGTAATTTTGTTGTAGTCGTTGTGCTGGTTAGGTCTGGTCTTCTTTGGCCTTCTTATGTCCTTGCATTTATTTTAATGAAAGCTGGTTTGTTTATAAAAGATTGAGAAATGATGGATGGATATTTTATAATTATCCGTTGTTGCTGAGTTTTAAAGATTGAAATCTCTTTTTCTAAATTTGGTTCTTCTTTGGGCTTGTCTTTTTAGTACGAAGCAATGACCTTGCTTTTGTACTTTCATTATCTTAATGAAAATTGTATAATCAAATTTCCTAATTAAAAAAATCTCTTTCCATCTCTTACAGGAAGCATTCTGTTGTTTCCATCTCTTATATGCAACGGTTTACTGATTCTTCTTAGTTCATGCGTAGATACCTGGAAAGTATTTTCTCTCGCCAGAGTTATGCTCATGAAATTTCGGAGCTCTATGAACGTTTAAACTCAATTGACTCGTGGGTATGGGATTTTCTTTTCTTTCGACTGATTGAATCAGTCTGAAATTTACACTGTAGTATTAGCAGGAGGGCACAGGAAAATTTTAGCATTTGCCTCTTTCAGAACTTTTTTGAACTTATTTGAGTATCTCATACGAATCTGTGGTTTTTTGTTACATTTATGATGTGCTATTGTGTTATGCTTTTTGTACAGGTTAACAGATATGCATTCCCTTCAGAAAAGGATTTAAAACACATCAACAGAAAATTAAAATCGTGTTGGGGACTTGGCTCCAATGACGAGTATACTATACAATCTTGTGATCCCTTAAATAAGATTAGTCTAATGCCTCTTAAATTTTGTTTCTAGATATTAATTACAAATTACATTCAAACATGGCAGGAGTAAGAAAAGGGAGAAAAAATCGAAGCACAAATCTAAGAAGAATTCAAATGAAATGCAAAATATGCCTTTGCACAATTAGCTGTATGTCTGTCTTCCACCAGTTATATTTCGGTGAGCTTCTATTACTTGCTTTTGATGGTAAATACTGCTACTATTATAGCATCCTGGTACTCTGTTGTCAGTTTTATTGTTAGTATCTTACCCTTTCGGTAGAAAAATAAAAACACAGTTTGCAACCATTTGAATGAAAGAGGATAGTGGGTAGCAAATCTCTTAGAAATTATTGTTTTGTTTTTAAAAGAGAACTGTTATCACTACCTAGGTAATCTTAGTTTGTGTCTTTTTATAGGTAGAAGAATCTCTACAGGGGATAGACAAAAAGGAGAGACAGGTGAGTGGAAGAAGGTTAATTTCTGTACTTTACAAAATGTATAAAGTAATGAGATTTTGAAAGAGTGGGTCCACTGCAGTATTTTTCAGGTCAAAGGGAATTCCCTGTCCATATCAATATAAATTTAAGGAATGTTAATGAATTAAAAGAATAATATTCAACACGCCTTTTCTGTAAACCCTAAATGCCAAGAAAACAGTAGTTGCCAAATTATTTATTTTTCTTTGCCGCAGCATGTTTGCAAGTTTGGATCCTGTGTGTAAAATTAGGAACGTTGTTGCTCATAAATAGGCTGTTGGATGGTACTCTTGGGGTGAGTTTGGGATAACTTCTAGAAGGATAAAAAGTGCTTTTGGCTCTTAAAAACGCTTTTCGAATTTTCATTGTATTGGATTGAATAATCAAAAACAAAAGTAGGAACATGGTTGCTCATGAATAGGCTATTTGATGGCACTTTTAGGGTGAGTTTGGGATAAATTCTACAAGGATAAAAAGTTCTTTTAGCCCATTAAAATTGCTTTTCAAATTTGCATAGGATCTGATTAGATAATCAAAAGTGTTTTTGAAACTCAAATGCTTGATTAGTCTTCCTTCTAAAAGTGTTGTTTTTATTTAAAAGCAATATTTTAAAAAGTCATTTAAATTCACCCTCGCCCACGGTTACTAACAGTATTTTGCCTCATTCATTCAGGTAACTCAACTTCTGCATTGGTCAGCGAGTTTCCTATATGGAACCAATATCCTTATGTCGTGTTCAATATGAAATATTGAAAAAGAAAACATCACATCAAGGACACGGCTAAACTTTGCCCCCTCTTTGGTACTCATTCTCTGATTTTATTCTTTTCTTCAGTCAGCAATATTTCTGGTCAGTAACCAAGTAATATCTGCCATGTAATGATAACATTGCGACAAAATTTTGAATTTCAGTCTTCTTCTGTCTTAGATTTTATTTCTCATTGTGTTCTGTCATTTGAATGGCTTTTTCTTATCTCCTTTTCTCCTTCAAAATGCGGGATGATATCTCTTTTTTGGTTCTTTTCTTTCCTCATTGAATATATCTCATCAGACAGAGAACCAGAACTTGTTTAAAATTATTTTTGTGTTCTGTATATTTCATTTATAAATGAGAACTCTTGTGCTCTCTTTTTGTTCTATATTAGGAAAATTCTTTTAGTGGCTTTTTCTTGCATTATTTGTGGTTTATAGCTTAAAAAAGGAAAAGACCAAAAATCAAAAGCTGCCTTTGGTCATTAAAACTTGTAACTATTGTCTTTTGGCCTCTCCTGGTGGTTTACGATTGTCCTTAATTTGGGAAAACATTTTGCTCAAAATTTATTTTAGGTTCTCTCGACTGTGGAGATGACAATGAGGAGTATTACTTATCATAACAATGATTTTTAGTCTTAGAGAACAATATACTTTGGAATTAGAGGTATTTTTGGTGGTCATCTTTTGATAGGTTTGAATGAGGATGTAAATTTAGATGAGAGATTTTGGAAAATGTATTGAACCTTTAGGAGGCATTCGGCTTTTGGGTTAAGAAGTCAGGTTTATGATTTATTCTCAGCTATAAGTTCATTAACTCTTCTTAAAAGATTAATAATCTCGCGCATGCACATGAATCTAAATTACATAAACATATCACTTACAAAAATATATTTCAACTACATTAATAAACTTAGGAGCGATTGCATGAATCTAGTCTTGTTAGAATCGTGAAACTTTTTAGTTCTTTCTTGAATCGATCTAATGTTGGTTATGTTGTCAATTTGGATTTTAAAAAGCTAGTTCGATTTACCATAAGGACCGATCATCTTTTCAAATGTGGTGAATAATTGAAACTTTAGGACAAAACCAATCGATCAATTTTGTAGCACCTTTATGGCTAATAAAAAAGCAATTCAAAGAAGTACCCAAATTGTCGTATGGATTGCAATGTTCATCAAAAACTACACGAGACAACGACATTTTTTTAATACAACAAGTGAGCGTGGAAAACTTGAACTTGTGATCACCATTGAGTTAAACTTATATTACGCCTTATGACTAAAGTTGCCATTTTATTATCATATTGCTACATTCTATGCTAAATTTTCTTGTACCTCATTCACAAACATCAAGAAAAACTTAGAATATAAAATGTGTTTTTTTCTTTTTTCTTTTTGAAGTATGATTTGATATGTGTTATAGGAATGGTTAATAAGAATTTCGCATCACTAATAATTACAAATTACAAAAATAATATAAGTTATCTAAAGCTTAAACTTATCTCCAAAAATAATAACAAGAAAAAACCCAAAAACATTATTTCTTTAGAATAAATATTTAACATTTCTAGTCACATAATCAACTTCAAAACGAGACATTCTGAATTTAGTCAAGTTGGTTAATAACAAACCTTTCACCCTTTTGTTCATAAAAATTCAGGCCAATACTTGAAAAGGCAAATTCAAGAGCAAGTTATAAGAATAAGTAGTGGCAGTAAGTAGAGTTTGCACATCCCAAAAAGGGAGACGATCTAGCGAGATGCAAAGAAGCATTTTATAAGAGAGACCATCCAATGGAGAAAGAGAGAAAAAAGAGACCAAATTCCAAATGGGGGAATAATGTATAAACAGAAAATGCCAAAAACAAAAACAATGAAAGTGAAAGAGAAGAAGAAATGTCAGTCAGCCTCAGCCCACCGAATGCACAGATTGAACACAGACACAAACCCTTTGCTTTTTTTTTTTTCTGCATTTTGTGAAAGCGACAGTTGATTGGTTGGTTTAGACAATCAGTTTTTTCTTTTGACACTTTTTTTTTTTAATTTGATATTTTGATACACGTAAAATAAAATAAAATAAAACGAAAACCCGATTTTGGTTCATTGGCGTGCTGGGAATTGTGTGGGTAAAAATAAAGTGATCGGAGGGAGGGGATTGGACGGTGGCGATGGGGGGTGGTGGGGCCGGTTTGACGGCGAGAAATCCGGCGAGAGTGGTGTACGGCGGAGGAATCTGATGCGGACATGACGCGGCCGAAATCAGTGGGAAAGAACCAATTATTGCTCCCCACGCTGCCCGACATAACATGATTCTGTCTCTCTTTCTCTCTCTCATCTTTTCCAGTTTTAAATTTCTTCTTTCTTTTTTCGATTTTTAACTCAATTTATTTAATTAAATATATTATATGTTGATTATTGGATATTATCACGTGGCATTATTGTGGGACCCACTACGTTTCTTTTTTCTCTCTTCGTTGCATCCACAAAATTCTAATGTTTTAAGATTGTGTTTTGTCGAGGATCGAAGGGAATTAAGAATTTTATAAGTATATGGGCTATATTTTTTTTTTGCGCATATTAAGATACTATCGGGGAGCATTTGATCTAAAAAAAACCGATCGAAATTTATGAGTCAAAAGAGTTACTTTTTTAAAATATGTTAAGGATCAATATAAAAAAGAAAAAAAAAAAGAGAAGAGATTAAACATGGTTTATAAAAACATGGACTATTTATTTAGTTGCTAATTGATTTTGACATGAAATCGTCTCAATATTAAAATATTTTAAAAGTAATTTTGTTTTTAGTTTTTTTTTTTCTAAATATTATGGTTGTTTCTTTACCATTTTTCTTCTTTCTTTGTTTTTCACTTTTCTTAAAAGTACATTCGGGTTGGTTGTCAAATTTTAAAAACAACACAAGTTTGTAAAGACTTCTTTTTTCCTTTTAAATTTGGTTAAGATTTCGATTTTTTTAGATATAAAACATATAAATACAGAGATGAAAATATTTTTTATCTACTTATTTTTAAAAATAGAAAACTAAAACTAAAATAATTATGAAATGGAAATTTAAATGATAAAAATATTAAATCTATGTTTGATTCTACCATTATTAAAATCATTTTTTTTCTATAAATCATGTTTGGTAAATTATAAAATTGATTTTAAGAAAGTTTAATATTGAAAAATAATATATATGGAAGACTTTTTTTTGCTCTGAGGATAATATCACCTAATCACTTGATTTTACTTAATAACCTGCTTTTTTTATATTTAGAAATAAGAGTTAATATTTATTGAAGTATATCATTAATACCTGTAAAATTATTGTAATAATTGTAGTTTAATTACTTGTACAATTCTTAATGCAAAGAAGTGAAGTGACTGTTTGAGCTAATTATTTGTCTAGCAAAAAACAACAAAATATTCAATGTCCATTTTTTCTGTCCTTTTCATTTTATCATTCTATTGAATCAAGTGGAGCAATAATTAAAATAACATTCAATAATTTATTGAAGGAATGAACGTGGTCACATATCAATCAATGAGAATTCCTACTTAATTTCTATGACTTATATCAATTTGGTAAAAAAAATGTGATGAATTCAATTAATTTATTCCGTCTAAATAAATAAACCTAAATAAAATAAAACAAGTAGCATGGTTAGAAGAAAGAGGTGGACAATTATCCCTTCATCTCTCTTAGGTTAACAAAATGATATATGTTTTTTAAAATTAAGATTTTAAAATTTCCAATCTAATTTGTCTTCTTTAAATTTATAGAAAAATTAGATTGTAAAATTTGCACTCTTTATGAAAATTCTTAGCTCAAACAGTGCATAAGTAATCAAATACTAACATTCATGGAATATAGTAAGATATATAGTAATCTAATATTATATTGATGAATTTTTTTTAGTACAAAAATTGGAAATATGGAGGTTTAAACTGGCTCCGACTTCAGAGAAATGAGTAGGTGCAAATTACCGTTGAGCTATGAAAAAAAAAATTAAAAGCACACATTGTACTTATATAATTATGATATTAAGTTTTATTATTACTCATAATTTTGAAATTGGCATATGCCAATAGTACTTCATTTCAAACTAAATTGATCATGTAAATACAATTATCTAAATAAAATGCTTTTGAAATAATTGTTTTAAATAAATTATGTAAATTAAATTGTTATGCCTACATTTGATGATAGTCGGCCAAGCCCATGAATGCAGTTGAGATATTATTTTAAATCAATAACAATACCTTAAAAAAAGTTTTTTTTTTAAAAAAAAAACCCGCTTATTAGAATAAATGATTTAATATTGAAAATAAAAAATAGATTTTGCAATTAAAGATATTTATAAACCAAAGGAATAGATAAAATTTTGGGTTAAAATACGCTAGGTATATTTATTTAGTATAACATGTGGGTATGGAAATTCGAATCTACACCATTTTAATTAGACATGAGTTTTGTTTAGATTGACTGAGACATATATATTTTGTTAATTTGAGATGTTACTTTAAAAAAGAAAAAATCTAAAAGCTATGATATTCCAACTTATATGCTAAATCTTTCGATAAATCATATGAAAGAGATTATTATTATTATTTCTTCTCATAAAAATCAAAGTTTTAAGATTATTAATATGGCTAATAATTAACTCATATTTTATTTAACTTTAATCCTCCTATCTTAAAAGAGATTGTTTCGCATGATGTTTAATGAGTTATTTCATATTTCATATCTTTTAGGTACAAATCATTGTGTTTATTATAATATTCAATATGTATATAAAAAACACCAAATCACCACTACAAGTTTTTCCATAAGGTGGAAATCAACTTTGTGAAAGATTATACCCAATTTGGATGTGTTCTTTGATTGGTTTTATTCCACGATTTTGTTTCACTCTCCCCAAATACGTGCGTATCCAATGTGATCATGTGTAGTCTCATTGGGAAAAAGAAGAAGAAAATGTACACATTGGTTCAGGTAAACCTGAAAGGCAAGCAAACAAGAATCTTACTCCTCATTCCCAACCAAAAAGAAACATTACAAAAGAGAGAAAGAATGACCCAAAAGTATAATTCAAGTGGTCAAACACAAAAGTCCGAATCCCTCCTCACCTTATTTGCAACATAATTAATTAGAAAAAGTAAATGGTTTTGGGGTTGGGATTATTTGTAGAAAGAAATTGAAGAGAATGGGTCAAAAAAATATAAGAGTTTGGACAAGTTGGGAAATGCAAAGGCAAGAGAGTGGGAGTGTAGTGTGTGTATTATTTGTGATTAGAGAGAAGAGATATTAAGAGAGCAATAATAATA